CCAAAATGGGCATGGCTTGAGCAAGGGGGTGGTGCTAGGTGGGTGCGGCTTAAGGGGTGGGGCCATGTGTGGGGTTTGTACTGGGGGAAGCTGGGTGGGCATGGCCTAACATTGAGGGGTGGGGTCAGGATTAGGGCAGGGGTGTGGCATGACCCAGCGGGCATGGCTTGAGTCATGGGGTGGAGTTGGTAGGTGTGGTTTTGAGCTGGGGTGGGGCTAATACTGGGATCAGGAAAGGAGGCGGGCCTAATGGCAGGGGCAGGGCACAGTGGGCATAACTTTAAAGGGGGTGGGGCCAGGGAAAGATGGTCTCGTGCTGGTGGGCGGGGCTTTGGCAAAAGGGTGGAATATTGTGGGTGTGGCTTCACCAGTGCTGTGGACTCCTCCAGGGATGGGGCTTTTCAAGGGGTGGAGCTTATGGGTCAAATGGGGGCAGGGTCTCTTAAAGGGTCACATCCCACTCCAAGGGGGGGGGGGAACCAGCCCCTGAGGGGGTGTGTCTATCCAGGTGAGTGTGAACACCTCAGGGGTGTGACTTTTGGGCCAATGGACTTTCCAAATAGATCTGGGATTTCTTAAAGTGGGTGAGGCTGTCTTGGGAGGGGCATGGGTTCCCCAAAGAAGGCATGGCTCCCCCCAGCCACACCTCCACAGTCATGTGGGCCATGATGGCACGTTGGTGACCCTCCAGTGTCTCCAGGGCGATCTGGCCAATCTCACTCTCTGACTTGCCCAGGAACATCTGGCAGGCAGCTGCGAGCATCTCCTTGTTCTGCCCCTGGATCTTCACCTGTGGGGGGGGCTGGCATCATCTGGGGACCCCCCCAGGTATCCCTGGGACCCCCCAAAATTGGTGTGGCCTCTTTAAGGAGTAGGTGTGGCACTGTCCTTTTAAGAGGCTGCTTGCTTGACAGGGTGGGGACCACCAGGACAGTGCCCTTTTATGGAGTCTCATCCTCTTGGAAGGGGTTTGGGGGTCCCCACCACCCCCAACCCGTTTCTGGGAGGTCTGACCCCTCTTAAAGGGGTCCCCACCAACAAAAACTCCTTTTAAGGGAGGTCAAGATCCTCCAGGGGGATTTCGGGGTCCCCACCACCCCAAGCCCCTTAAGAATTGGACCTTGGCCCCTTTAAGAAGGGTTTAGGGAGGCTGCCCAATCACAAACCCTTTTTGATGGTTTTTTAAAGGGTTTTGAAAGGATTTTGCCCGCTTTTAAGGAATTGTTGGGTCCCCACCAATCCACACCTCTTTTAAGGACGATTCCCCCTCCCATTCCAGGGGTTTGGCGATCCCCAAACTTCGAGCTCCTTTTAGGGGATTCCCCATCCCTAAATGCCCTTTCTAGGAGTGTTTTTAACCCCTACAAATGTTTCTGATGGGCCCCACCACGCCAAACCCCCTTTAAAGGGCTCCTCCCCTCCCCCCGCGTTGTTTTGCGCTTCCCGCTACCATCGCCGCTTTAAGAACGCGCTTAAGTAGGCCCCACCACAACCTCAATTAAAAGGGCAACGCCACCCAGGTTGGGTCGGGCAGGGGCGCACCAGAGGGGTTTTGGGGGATCACGGGGGGAATTTGGGGGTCCCGGAGCATTTTTGGGAGGTTCCACGGAAATTTCGGGGTTCAGAGTGCGGTTTTAGGGGCATCCGCGTGGGATATTTGGGGTTTCTGGGGGGATTTGGGGGGTCCCGGGGGAATTTTGGGGAATCCTAAAGAGATTTTGGGGGGGTTCTGAATGGGGGTTTTGGGGGTCCCAGTGGGGTGTGGGGTCCGGGGAGGGTTGGGAGTACCGAGGGGCATTTTGGGGATCCCGGTGGGGATTTTCGTGGTTCTGAGTATATTTTGGGGGGTCCAGGGGGGATTTTTAGGGTTTTGATGGGAGATTTCTTAGGGAGTTTTGGGATTCCAGGAGGGGATTTTTGGGGATTCTGAGGGGGATTTTCAGGGGCCAAGGAGGGGATTTTTGGGGTATTTCTGGCAGTCCAGGAGAGATTTTTGGGGTGTTTTTTGGGGTGTTCTGGGGGTACCTGTGCGATGCCGGTGACGGAGATGGGCACCCCGTGGCGGGTGTAAACCTTCTCACTGCGCACGGGCAGCGTCAGCGTGTTCAGGGAGATCCTGGGGGGGGCCGGGGTGGTCACCCCAAATCTCTGGGGATCCCCCCCACCCCCCGAACCCCAAAAACCCCCCCGGGCCCCTCCTCACCGCTGGATCTTCTGCAGGCACGGGATCACCAACACCCGGCCCCCGGCCACCATCACCGGGGGGCTGCGGCAGAAACCTGGGGGGCACTGAGAGCTGGGGGACCCCGAAATCCCGGGGGGGACACAGGGACACCCCCGGGAATCCCCGGGGTGGGTTTGGGGGGTCCCAGGAGGGGTTTGGGGTGGCTGGCTGGGTCAGGGGGGACCCCAGGGGTTTTGAAGGGGGGAATTTTGGGGGAAAATTTGGAGGATAACTTGGGAAGGGTCCCCAGGATTCTCGGGGGATAAAATGGATGGGGGGACCCTCGGGGAGGGTTTGGGGAGTCCCTGGAGGAGTTTGGGGGGGTTTGGGAGGGGTCCAAGGAGTGCCAGGGTGGGTTTGGGGGGGTCCCGGAAGGTTTCCCAGGAGTTTTGGGGGTGGGGATTCTGGGGATTCCCTGGAGGCTTTTGGGGGAGGATTTTAGGGCTTTCCGGGAGGTTTTGGAGATTCTGGGGGTTCCTGGAAAATTTTGGGCGATTTTGGGGCTTTCCAGGATATTTTGGGCGGGGGGGGATTCTAGGGGTTCCCGGGAGGTTTTTGGAGGGAATTCAGGGGATTTCAGGGAGTGTTTGGGGGGCTCCTGGGATTTTTGGGGGGAATCCTGGGAGTCCCCCGCAGTTTTGGGGGGATTCTGGGTTTTCCCGGCAGTTTTTGGGGAATTCTGAGGGTTCCCGGGAAATTCTGAGGGGATTTGGGGGTTCCCGGGAGTTCTGAGGGTCCCCAGGAGCCCCCGGGCCCCCCGAACTCACCCGACACCACCATGGCCTCGTTGGGGCCGCAGGTGAAGAACATCGCGGCGGGGAGGGCCGGGGATCGATGGGGGTCAATCAGGATCGACCGGAGCCGACCGGGACCGATCGCGATCCGCGACGGCCGCCCCGATCCCGGCAGCCCCCGCGCTCGCCACTTCCGCATTAGCGCGGTGACGTCACACAACACGCGGCCTCCCATTGGCTGTCGCGCCAAGGGCGGGAAGGGGAAATCTGTTCTGCCTGGCAACCAGTGACGTCCCTGATTTCTCGGCGCTCCATTGGCTGCGCCGTGCTCAGATTTTAGTACTATCTATGGGAAATGAACAATTTCAGCTCGGGATGAACCTGGGGCTGAGGGCAGTGATGGGGTCTGGGGAGCTCCAGACCATGGCCGGGTCGTGGTCAGCTTATGGTCGTCTCATGGTCATCCCAGGGTCAACTCATGGCCATAATCGTATTAGGTCATCTCACAGCCATGGTCGTGTCATGGTCAGAATCATCTCAAGGTGACAGTCATATCATGGCAATGGTCATCTCCTGATCACCATCATCTCATGCTCATGGTCATCTCATGGTCAGGATCACATTACGGTCATGGTCATGTCATGGTCATCTGTTGGTTTCAGCTATCACATGCTCACAGTCATGTCATGGTCATCTCAGAGTCATGGTCATCTCATTGTTACCTCATGGTCAGCTCATGGCCACAATCACATCGTGGTCATCTTACATCTGTGGTTCTGTCATGGTCATGGTTATCTCTTGGTCAACTCATGGTCAGAATCTTGTCATGATCTTGATCATTTCACGGTTGTGGTTGCATTACGATGAGAGTCACAGTGATCTCATGGCCCTGATCACCACATGGCCATGGTTGCATTGTGGTCATGTCTTGGTTGCAATCATCTCATGGTCACGGTCATCTCATGTCCACTTCAGGGTGATGGTCATTTCCTGATGACCATCATCTTAAGCTCATGGTTATCTCACTGTAATGGTAAGCTCACAGTCACCTCATGATCACACATGGCCATGGTGTCCTTGTGATCTTCTCTCGGTCACAATCATCACATGCTCATGGTCATCTCTTTGTAATGACCATCCCATGATCATGGTTGTGTCATGGTCATTGCATGGTCATGGTCATTTTATGATCATCTCATGTTCAACTCATTTGCCACAATCTTGTCATGGTCATCTCTGGGCTATGGTTGGGTCATGGTTGTGGTTATCTCATGATCACAGTCATCTCATGGCCATCACATGGTCATGGTCATTTCCTGATCACCATCATCTCATGCTCAGGGTATCTCACTTTAATGATCATCTTATGACCATGTCATTGTCACTTCATGGCCACAATCACGTCAGGGTCACCTCAAGGCCATGGTGCTGTCATGGCCAACCCATGGTCATCTCTCGGTTCAAATCATCTCATGGTCAGGGTTGTGGTTGTGTCATGGTCATGGTCACAGTCATGGTCATCCCATGGTCATGGTCATCTCAGGGTTGTGTCACTCATGGTCATTCTCACGGCCATCTCATGCTCGTGTCATGGCCGTGGTCATGGCCAGGGAACCTCTCTGAGATCCTGAGCCCTGACTTTGGGACACTCAAGGACCTCTGGGGACAACAAGGCCTGGCCTGACCCCTCCCCCCATCCGACTGTCCCTCCAGGAGCCCAGCGTGGCCAAACCCTTCTGGGGACACCTCAGACATGGGACACGGAGCGGGAAATTAATCCCGGGAGATGGAGCCGGGTGTGGCTGGCAAGCCCCCATCCTGCTCCTGGTGTCCCAGTCCAGCTCCTGATCTCCCCATCCTGCCCCTGGTGTCCCCATCCTGCTCCTGGTGTTCCCATCCTGGTCCTGCTGCCCCTATCCCAGCTCCTGGTGTCCCCATCCCTGCTCCCAGTATCTCCATCTCTGTCCCAGTGACCCCATTCCCATTCTTGGCTCCCACAGATGAACTGCCAGACTGGAGGAGGGAACCCAGATTTATTGCCCAAAGCAGCATTTATTGCCCAAAGCAGGATAGTTTCACACCAGAAGCAAAGCATTGTGAATATTTGCGGTTCTTGCCTTTAAAACATTGGAAAATGGGAAATGTATCTGTTTATCAAGAGCTGTGGGGTGGGTGGCAGCAGCAGGATGAGCTCTGCTGGCAGCTCTCAGCTTTCCAGAGAAGAGGGAAGGGGCCAGATCCAACTCCATGGATTGCTCAGGCAGTGATTCCTGACGGAATGAGAGTCATGGTGTCACACTGTCCCTGTCCCCATTCCACAGGATGGACCTGGCTGGAGCCCATGGAGAGCAGGACCTGCTCCAGAATCCCATGTGATCCCACCCCAAGCCTGCTGCAATCCTGCTCCATCCATCCCACCCCATTCCACCCCATCCATCCTGCCCCAATCCTTCTCTGGAACCCCAACCTGATCCTGTTCCATTCCATCCCACCTGATTCTTGTCTGGAATCCAGCCCTGACCTCACTCCATCCCTCCCACACCAATCCTGCTCCATCCATCCCTCCTGATCCCACTCCAGAATCCAGCTCCAATCCCACTCTACAATTCCACCTGATCCCACTCTGGACCCTGCTCTGATCCAGAATCCCTCCCCGATCCCAGTCTGTCCATCCTGCCCCTGCCCTGATCTCCTTCTGGAATCCCACCCCAATCCTGCTCCATACCTGTGCTCAAGCCGTTGGTTCCCACATCTTTTCCTGCAGAAAGAGAAGATCCGTGAGATTCCAGCATGGATCACCCACCAGGATTAACCCCAGGATCCATCCTGGGATCTGCACAGAGGGGATCTAGAGCTGGATCCACCACTGGAACTCACCAGCTGCCGGGTTGTATCCATTCCTGTTCCTCCTCCCTGTGGAAACAAAGTGGGATCAGCGTGGGGGGTGGCACAGGATTCCCAGAACAGTGCCGGGTGGATCCGTGTCCCTTCCCGACCCCCATCCCGTGTGTTACCGGATTGGAGCTTCCAGACGCCGAATCCGATGAGGACAATGAGGATAAGGATGGCAGCGATGACAGACACAGCGACCACCATGGTGAGATTCCTGCCAGATGTCGGCTCTGGGAAACGTGGGATAGTGAGGAGGGTGAGGGGAATCACCATTTAGGAATTCCAAATTCCCAATCCCCACATTCCCAGCCTCACCCCAAGCAAAGATCCCGGGCTCTGGCATTCCGGGATGCTCCACCCTGCACCAGTACTGCTCCCGCTCCTCCGGCAGCGCCTCGATCCTGGCCCAGGTGTGGAAGGTGCCGTCGCTGTTGGGAACGATCCCGCCCCACTCCGTCTCCTGATCCAAGGTTTGACCCCCCTTCATCCAGCTGACTGCGATGGTTTTAGGGTAGAATCCGTACGCGTGGCAGGACAGGATCAGCGTCCCGTGTTCCTCTCTTCCAGACACGTGAACATCAGGGGGCTCTGGAATGGGATAATGGTGACAGACATCTGTGGAATTCCATGGGAGTGGGACTGGGGTGAGATCTGACCGTGGAATTCCCACTGGAATGGGATGCAGGAGAGATCTGACCATGGAATTCCATGGGAATGGGATGGGGGCAAAATCTGCCCATGAAATTCCATGGGAATGGGATGGGGGCAAGATCTGCCCATGAAATTCCATGGGAATGGGATGGGGGCAAGATCTGCCCATGGAATTTCATAGGAATGGGATGGAAGTGAGATCTACCCATAGAATTCCCACAGGAATTACTGTGTTCCCAAGTCCTCCATCCCCAAATCCCAAATTCCCACAGGATTTCTGCTCCCACCTTTGCGCTCCAGCTCCTTCTGCCCGTATCTGACGTGCCTCTGGACCCATTCCGGGCATTCGTGCTTCAGGTAATTCGTCCAATGTTCAGCCACCTCTTCCTGTTCCCAGCGCCTCCTGGTGATCTCAGCAGCGCTGTCGGCCGGCACGAATCTCCCGGATCCCAGGTCAAAGGAGATGAAATCCCGCCCGTTGTAGGCATTCCGGTAGGATCCACCGATGCTCCCATCGGACAGGAGCTCACAGCCATAAACTCGCAACAATGTGTGGAGACCTGGAGGGATTGTACCCACAGAGACCCATGGAATTGTGTCCCAGCCCCACAGAGCCCCATTTCAGCCCCATGGAGCACCAGAGTGTGAGGGAGACCCACAGAGCCTCATCCCAGCCCCTTGGAGCCCCATGGATCCACATCCCAACCCCACAGATCCCATCCCAGCCCCATGGATCACAAGATATCCGATCCCAGCCTAATGGATCCCCGTTTCAGCCCCTTGGAGCCCTGTGAGTCCACAACTGGAGACCTGCAGAACCCATACCAGCCATTCAGTTCCCATTCCAGCCCCACAAATCCCATCCCAGCCCCATGGATTCATATCCCACTCCCATGGATCCATATCCCAACCCATGGATGATGAGATATTCCATCCTAACCTAATGAATTCTCATTTCACCCCCTTGGAGCCCTGTAAGTCCACACCTGAGACCTATAGATCCCATTCCAGCCCCATGGATCCCCATCCCAACCCTATGGATCCCAGCCCAGCCCCACAGATCCCATCCCAGCCTCATGGATCACAAGATATTCCATCCCAGCCTAATGGATCCCCATTTCAGTCCCTTGGAGTCCTGTTAGTCCACAACTGGAGACCTACAGATCCCATCCTAACGCTACAGTTCCTATTCCAGCCCCACATATCCCATCCTAGCCCCATGGATTTGTATCCCAACCCCATGGATCTAAACCCAGCCCCACAAATCCCATCCCAGCTTCATGGATTCATATCCCAACCCATGGATCACGAGATATTCCATCCCAGCCTAATGAATTCTCATTTCACCTCCTTGGAACCCCATGAGTCCACACCTGAGACTTATAGATCCCATCCCAGCTCCATGGACCCTCACCCCAGCCCTACAGATCCGATTCCAGCCCCATGCATCCCCATCCCAACCCTATGGATCCCAACCCAGCCTCACAGATCCCATCCCAGCCCTATGATTTCACATCCCAGCCCCATGGACCCAATCCCAGCCCCACAGATCCCATTCCAGCCCCACAGATTCCATCCCAACCCCATAGATCCCAACCCAGCCCCATGGATCAATATCCCAACCCGTGGATCACAAAATATCCCATCCCAGCCTAACGGATCCCCGTTTTCAGCCCCTTGGAGCCCTGTGAGCCCACATCTGAGACCTATGGATCCCATCCCAGCCCCATGGATCCCCATCCCAGCCCTACAGATCCCATCCCATCCCAGCCCTAGAGTTCCCATTTCAGCCCCACAGTTCCCATCCCAGCCCCACAGATCCCCCCACTCACCCCCGCTCTGGTTGTACCGCTCCCGCAGTGTCTCCAGGTCCCTGACATTCATGTGCTGCCACCCCACATTGATCTGGGTGTTCCTCTCCCAATATTCCGGATCAACTGAATCCTTTACCCACTCTGTCAGTGGCTCCACCCGGCCCCGCTCGTTGTCATAGCGCGTGAAGGGGATCCCATCCAGGTACCCCATGGACATGTACTGGGGGATTCCCGGGCTGGGCTCTGACACCGCCACTTTCAGGTAATGCATGGAGTGGAGAACTGGGGGGACACGGAAATTTGGAGGAGATGAGGGGATCACGGATCAATGAAAGGGGAACTGGGAGAGCTGGGAAGGGGTTTGGGGATCCTGGGGCCAAGGAAAGGGTGTGCAGGGTGGGAGAGGTGGGATGGACAGGAAAGGGCCTGCAGGGGGTCCTGGTGTCCAGGAATGGGGGCTCGGGGGGTTCCAGGGTTATGGAAGGGGAGGGGGGAAGGCAGGGACTGGGAAAGTGGGATGGGGGTTCCAGGGGATCCCTGTGCGCAGGAAAGGGGGTCCAGGGGTCCCCAGTGCCGAGGAAAGGGGTCACAAGGTGGGGAGACCTGGGAATACGAGTTTTGGGGGTCCTTGATGAACAGAAAAAGGGAAGCTGGGGGCTGAGAAAAGCAGGAATGCGGGTCCAGGGGGTCTCAGGGACAAGAAAAAGGGGGGTCTGGGGACTGGGGAAGAAAGGATGGATGGGAAAGGGGATGCAGGGGGAAATTGGTACTGGATAAGGGGGTGCAGGGGGGTCCCAGTGCCCAGAACTGAAATTCAGGGAGGTCGCGGGGCCCAGAATACCCCCTGGGCCACTCCTGGACCCCCAAGAACCCCCCCCAACCCCCAGCAGAACACACACTGGGGGGACGTAAAGATTGGAGAAAGATTGGGAAAGCCGGGAAGGGTCCAAGTTCACGGAAGGGACTGGGAGGGGCGGGATGGGGGATCCAGGGGGTCCCTGTGCCCACCAAAGGGGGTACAGGGGTCCCCGGTGTTGAGGGCAGTGGGGTCTGGGAGCTGGGAAAGGCAGGGATGGGGCTCCAGGGGGTCCCTGGGTCACAGGAAGGGGGGTCTGGGGCTGGGAGAGGCGGGCGGATCCCGGGGACGCAGCTTGGGAGATGGGAAAAAGAGAAAGAGACCGAGGGAACCTGGGGGGAAGGAAGGCGGGGGGGGGGGGGAATAGGGGAATTCCAGGGAGTTCATCTGGATCCCTCTGGTTCCACCCTGCGACCCCCCTGAGACCCCAGGGATCCTCTGGGACCCTGTTTTGAGAAGGGGCGGGAGTGGAAAACGGGGGGGACACGGAAAGCTGGGAAATCTAGGAGGTCCAGAGGTCAAGGAAAAGGTCCAAAGAGTCTGGAAAAAGCGGGATGCCCGAAAATGAGAAGCAGAGCAGTTCCAGAGCACTGACGGGGGTATAGGGGAGTCCCAGTCCCGGATAAGGGGGTGCAGGGGTTTCCCCGTGCCCAGGAATGGGGGTTCAGCGGGGTTCCCGTGCCGAGATTCGGAGTGCAAAGAGATCCTGAACTCCAGGAATGGGAAATGCAGTGGGTCCCGGGGCCAGATAAGGGGGTGCAGGGGAGTCCCGCTGCCAGGAAATGAAAGTTCACGGGGGTCCCCGTGCCCAGGAATGGGGGTTCAGGGGATTCTTTTTCCAGAATTCGGGGTTCATGTGGGTCCCGGTGCCAGGAAATGGGCGCTCAAGGGGTCCCCGCGCTCAGGAATGGGGGCTCAGTGGATTCTGATGCCCGGGAATGGCGGTTCAGGGGGGTTTCCCTGCCCAGCAATGGGGTTCAGGGGGGTCCCGGTGCCAAATAAGAGGGCATAGGGAGTCTCGGTGCTGGGGAAGGGGATGGAAGGGTTACAGTAGACCCAAAATGGTGGTTCAGGGGAATTCCCCTGTCCAGGAATGGAAGCCTACGGAGTTCCCGGTGCCCGGAAGTGGAAGTTCAGGGGGTCCCGGTTTCGGGGTTCCCACTCACCTTTGGTCGCGCCCCCCGGGTCCCCCAGGAGCCCCAAGAGCAGCCCCAAGAGCAGCCCCAGACCCAGCGCGGCAGCCATGGCGCTGCTCGGCTGCGGCCCCGCCCACAGACCTGGCCTCGCCCCAACACTGGCCCCGCCCCCAGAGGTGCCAAAGGCCCCGCCATTGGCACCGCTATTTCCTGCTTGCCAATGGCAGCCCGACCTGTCCGTGACGTCACCGGTCAACGGGCAGATCCCGGTCTCGCAGGTTGGGACGCGGAAGCGAAAGGGACCGAGGAGGGCGGGGCGGGGGGAGGGGACGGGGGAATTGCAGAGAATCCCTCTGGATCCCTCTGGATCCCGCTGCGACCGCCCTGGAGCCCTCTGAGAACCACCTGGGAACCCCTGGGACCCCCTTAAAGAAGCGCCGGGAATGGAGAACTGGGGGGATCCGGAAATTTGGGAGATCTGGGGGTGCAAAGGTGAAGGAAAAGGGCGGGTCTGGGGTCTGGGAAGGGCGGGAGGGGCGGGGAGGGGTGTGGGGGGTCCCAGAGCACGTGAGGGGGGTCCAGGAAGGGGTCCCAGTCCCGGATAAGGGGGTGCAGGGGGGTCCCCATGCCCGGGAACGGAGGTTCAGGGGGTCCCAGGTCAGGGGATGGGGATGAGGGCAATGGGGGGTGCAGGGGGTCCCTGTGCCCAGGAAAGGGGGTGCACGGGCAGATCCCCAGTGTTGAGGAAGGTGATGGGTGGGGGCTGGGGAAGGCAGGAGTGGGGGTTCAGGGGGTGTCGGGGTCAAGGAAAAGCGGGGGCTGGGGTGTCTGAGAGGGGGAGGGCCGGGAAAGGGGGTGCGGGGGGGGGCATTGGGGCTGGATAAGGGGGTGCAGGGGGATCCCCGTGATGGGTAAGGGCCTGCAGGGTGGGGTCCTGTGCCTGAGAATGGAGGGTTTGGGAGGGTTCCAGTCCTGGATATGGGGGTGCACAGGGGTCTTGGTGCAGCGGAATGGGGGTGCAGGGGGTCCCAGTGCTGCACTGGGGTCCCGGTGACCAGAAATTGGGGTTTAGGGGGGTCCCGGTGCTGCTGAGGAGGGCACAGGGGGGTCGGGGTGGCTGGAAATGGGCGCTCAAGGGGGTCCATGTGCTCGGGAATGGGGGTACAGGGGGATCTTGGAGTTAGATGAGGGGTACAGGGGGGTCTCGATGTTGGGGAAAGAGACTGAGGGGTGTCACAGGACCCAAAAAGCGGCTATGTGGGGTTTCCCTGTCCGGGACTGGAGGTTTAGGGGGTCCCAGTGCCCGAAAATTGCAATTCCGGGAGCACCGGTGCCGGGCAAATGGGGTTCAGAGGGAGTCCCTTCCTGCGAATCGGGGTTCGGGGGGGTCCTGGTTCCAGGTCATGGCCTGGCTGGGCAGGGGGTCTCTGTTCACAGGAATGGGGGTTCAGGGGGCCCGGTGCCAGATAACGGGATGCCCAGGAAATGGGGTTCAGGGGGGTTCCCTTCCAGGGTGCCTGAAAATTGATGTTCAAGAGAGTTCCAGTGCCCAGAAATGGGGGTTCGGGAAGTCCCGGTGCCCAGAAATTTGGGTTCAGGGTGGTTTCCGTGCCCCGGAATGAGGGTTCAGCGGGTTCCAGGCCCCAGATAAGCGGGTGCAGGGGTTGTCGGGGCTGGGGAAGGGGGCACAGGCGGGTCCCGGTGCCCCAAAATGAACATCCAAGGGGGTCTCGGTGCCCAGGAACAGGGGTTCACCCGGAAATGGAAGTTCAAGGAAGGGACTGGGAGGGGCGGGATGGGGGATCCAGGGGGTCCCTGTGCCCACCAAAGGGGGTACAGGGGTCCCCGGTGTTGAGGGCAGTGGGGTCTGGGAGCTGGGAAAGGCAGGAATGGGGGTTCAGGGGGTCCCTGGGTCACAGGAAGGGGGGTCTGGGGCTGGGAGAGGCGGGCGGATCCCGGGGACGCAGCTTCGGAGACGGGAAAGCGAGACGGGGAAAAGGGGAATTCCAGGGAATTCATCTGGATCCCATTGGATCCTCGCTGAGACCCCCTGGGACCCCGGAGGACGCTCTGGGACCCCTGGAACCCCTTCCAGGAAGCGCATGGGGGAATGGAGAACTGGGGGAACGCAGAAATTTGGGAGATCTGGGGGTCCAAAAGCCGAGGAAAAGGGGGGACGGGGGTCTGGGAAGGGTGGGATGGCCGGGAATGGGGGTACAGGGGGTCCCAGAGCACTGACAGGGGTGCGGGGGGACCCCGGAACCGGATTAGGGGGTGCAGGGGGGGTCCCAGTGCCCAAAATTTGGGTTCAGGGCAGGTCCAAGTGCCGGGAAACGCAGGTCCAGGGGGAGTTTCCTTCCCGGAATTTGGGGTTCGAGGGGGTTCCAGTGGCCGGGAATAGCAGTTCTGAGAGCGCCGTTGGCCAGAAATGGGGGTTCAGCGGGGTCCCAGTGCTGCCGAAGGGGGTACAGGGGGGTCGGGGTGGGCAAAAATGGGCGCTCAAGGGGTCCGCGTGCTCAGGAATGGGGGTTCAGGTTGGACCCGGTGCCACATAAGGGGGTACAGAGGGGGTCTCGATGCTGGGGAAGGGGATTCATGGGGGTCACAGGACCCAAAAAGGGGTTATGTGGTGTTTCCCTGTCCGGGAATGGAGGTTTAGGGGGTCCCGGCGCCCAAAAATTGCAGTTCCGGGAGTGCCGGTGACCAGAAATGGGGTTCAGAGGGAATCCCTTCCTGCGAATCGGGGTTCGGGGGCGTCCCGGTGCCAGATAATGGGCTGGCCGAGCTATGGTGCTGTGGAAGGGGTGCAGGGGGTCCCCGTTCACAGGAATGGGGCGCTCGAGGGGTCCTGGTGCAACTGAATGGGCGTTCAGGTGTCCTGGTGCCAGGTAACAGGACGCACTGGGGTCCCAGTGCCCAGGAAATGGGTTTCAGGGGGTTCCCTTCCCGGGTTCTCGGGTTCAAGGGGTCCTGATGCCTGAAAATTGAGGTTCAGGGGGGTCCCGGTGCCCAGAAATTGGGGTTCAGGGCGGTTTCTGAGCCCAGGAATGTGGGTTCAGGGTGTTACATGCTTCAGATAAGGGGGTGCAGGGTTTATCGGGGCTGGGAAAGGGGGTACAGGGCAGGTCCAGGGGTCCCCAGTGTTGAGGGCAGTGGGGTCTGGGAGCTGGGAAAGGCAGGAATGGGGGTTCAGGGGGTCCCTGGGTCACGGAAAGGGGGGTCTGGGGCTGGGAGTGGCGGGCGGATCCCGGGGACACAGCTTGGGAGACGGGAAAGAGAAAGAGACCGAGGGAACGCGGGGGAAGGGGACGGACGGAAACGGGGAATTCCAGGGAGTTCATCTGGATCCCTCTGGACCCGAGTGTGACCCCCCCCGAGACCCCCAGGACGCTCTGGGACCCCGTTTCGGGAAGCGGCAGGAGTGGAAAACTGGGGGGACACAGAAAGTTGGGAGATCTGGGGGCTCCAAAGTTCTACGAAAAGGGCGGGTCTGGGGTCTGGGAAAACCAGGATGCCCGAAAAGGGGGGCACGGTGGTCCCGGAGCACTGACGGGGGTGCAGTGGGAGCCCAGTCCCGAACAAGAGGGTGCAGGGGGATCCCCGATGCCCGGAAATGGAGATTCAGGGGTGTCCCCGTGCCCAAGAATGGGGGTTCAGGGGGGTTCCCATGCCGCGATTCAGGGTTCAAAGGGATCCTGAACCCCAGGAATGGGAGATCCGGTGGGTCTCGGCGCCAGATAAGGGGGTGCAGGGGGGTCCCGCTGCCAGGAAATGAACGTTCATGGAGGCCCCATGCCCAGGAATGGGGGCTCAGGAGCTTTCCCTGCCCAGGAATGGGGGTTCAGGTGATTCTCTACCCGGAATTCGGAGTTCAAGCGGGTCTCGGTGTCGGGAAATGGCGATTCAGGGGGTCCCGGTGCTGGGGAAGGGGGATCAGGGGGGTCCCTATGCCCAGAAATGGGCGCTCAAGGGGTCCCCGTGCTCAGGAATGGGGGCTCAGTGGATTCTGATGCCCGGGAATGGCGGGTTCGGGGGGGGGTCCCGGTGCTGGGGGAGGGGATCAAGTGGACGTCACAAGCCCCCCACAGGCTATGGGGAGGTTCCCATGCGCGGTAATGGAAGTTCAGGAGGGTCCCAGGGCCCGGAAATGAAAGTTCGGGGGGTCCCAGGGCCCGGAAATGGAAGTTCAGGGGGTCCCGGTTTCGGGGCTCCCACTCACCTTTGGTCGCGCCCCCCGGGTCCCCCAGGTGCCCCAGGAGCCCCCAGAGCAGCCCCAGACCCAGCGCTGCAGCCATGGCGCTGCTCTGCTATGGCCCCGCCCACAGACCTGACCCCGCCCACGGAGCAGCCTCCGGCCCCGCCATAGGCGCCGCTATTTCCTGCCCACCAATGGTAGCCTGAGCTGTCAGTGACGTCACCGGTCACCGGGCAGACCCCGGTCTCGCAGGTTGGGACACGGAAGCGAAAGGGACCGAGGAGGGCGGGGCGGGGGGAGGGGACGGGGGAATTGCAGAGAATCCCTCTGGATCCCTCTGGATCCCGCTGCGACCGCCCTGGAGCCCTCTGAGAACCACCTGGGAACCCCTGGGACCCCCTTAAGGAAGCGCCTGGAGGGGAGAACTGGGGGGATCCGGAAATTTGGGAGATCTGGGGGTGCAAAGGGGAAGGAAAAGGACGGGTCTGGGGTCTGGGAAGGGCGGGAGGGGCGGGGAGGGGTGCGGGGGGTCCCAGAACACGTGAGGGGGGTCCAGGAGGTGTCCCAGTCCCGGATTAGGGGGTGCAGGGGGGTCCCCATGCCGGGAACGGAGGTTCAGTGGGTCCCAGGTCAGGGGATGGGGGTGAGGGCAGTGGGGGGTGCAAGGCATCCCTGTGCCCAGGAAAGGGGGTGCACGGGCAGATCCCCGGTGTTGAGGAAGGTGATGGGTGGGGGGCTGGGGAAGGCAGGAGTGGGGGTTCAGGGGGGTGCCAGGGTCAAGGAAAAGCGGGGGCTGGGGTGTCTGAGAGGGGGAGGGCCGGGAAAGGGGGTGCGGGGGGGGGCATTGGGGCTGGATAAGGGGGTGCAGGGGGATCCCCGTGATGGGTAAGGGCCTGCAGGGTGGGGTCCTGTGCCTGAGAATGGAGGGTTTGGGAGGGTTTCCGTCCTGGATATGGGGGTGCACGGGGGTCTTGGTGCAGCGGAATGGGGGTTCAGGGAGGCCCAGTGCTGCATAAGGGGATGCACTGGGGTCCCAGTGCCCAGGAAATGGGGTTCAGGGGGGTTTCCTTCCCGGGTTCCGGGGTTCAAGAGGCTCTGGTGACTGAAAAATTGAGGTTCAGGGGGGTTCCAGTGCCCAGGAAATTGAGATTCAGAGGGTCCCAGTGCCGGATAAGGGGATGCAGTGGGTTCTGGTGCCCAAAAATCGGGGTTCAGGGCGGTTTCCATGCCCGAGGATGGGGGTTCAGGGCATTCCAGGCTCCCGATAAGGGGGTGCAGGGTTATCGTGGCTGGGGAAGGGGCACAGGGGGGTTCCGATGCCCCGAAATGAACATTCAAGGGGGTCTCTGTGCCCCGGAAGGGGGCTTCGCCAGGAAATGGAAGTTCAAGGAAGGAACTCGAGAGGCGGGATGGGGGACCCAGGGGGTCCCTGTGCCCACCAAAGGGGGTCCAAGGATCCCCGGTGTTGAGGGCAGTGGGGTCTGGGAGCTGGGAAAGGCAGGAATGGGGGTTCAGGGGGTCCCTGGGTCACAGGAAGGGGGGTGTGGGGCTGGGAGAGGCGGGCGGATCCCGGGGACGAAGCCTGGGAGACGGGGAAAAGTCTCCCAAGGGGAGATTCCAGGGGAACTCCAGGGAATTCATCTGGATCCCACTGGATCCTCGCTGAGACCCCCTGGAACACCTTCCAGGAAGCGCCAGGAATGAAGAATTGGGGGGACACAAATTTGGGAGATCTGGGGGTCCAAACGCCCAGGAAAAGGGGGGGACTGGGGTCTGGGAAGGGCGGGATGGCCGGGAATGGGGATGCAGGGGGTCCCGGAGCACTGACGGGGGTCCAGGGGGATCCCAGTCTCGGATTAGGGGGGGCAGGGGGTTCCCAGTGTAAATAAATGGGGGTTCAGGGGGGTTCCAGTGCCCAAAAATTGGGGTTCAGGGGATTTCCATGCCATGGAATGCAGGTTCAGGGAGAATTTCCTTCCCGGAATTCAGGGTTCGAGGGGGTTCACGTGCTTGAAATGGCATATCCAGGGGCGCTGGTGACCAGAAATGGGGGTTCAGGGGTCCCAGTGCTACCGAAGGGTGTATGGAGGGGTCGAGGTGGGCAGAAATGGGCATTCTAGGAGGTCCACGTGCTCAGGAGTGGGGGGGTCAGGGGAGTCCCGGTGCCAGATAATGGGGTACAGAGGGGTCTCGATGCTGGGGAAGGAGACTGAGGGGGGTCACAGGACCCAAAAAGGGGTTATGTGGGGTTTCCCTGTCCGGGAATGGAGGTTTAGGGGGTCCCGGTGCCCGAAAATTGCGGTTCCGGGAGTGCCAGTGACCAGAAATGGGGTTCAGGGGGAATCCCTTCCTGCGAATCGGGGTTTGGGGGGGTCCCAGTGCCAGATAATGGCCTGGCTGGGATCTGGTGCTGTGGAAGGGGTGCAGGGGGTCTCCGTTCACATGGATGGGGGGCTCGAGGGGGTCCTGGTGCAGTGAAATGGGGTTCAGGGGGGTTCCCTTCCCGGGTGCCCAGAAAATCGAGATTCAGGAGAGTTCCAGTGTCCAGAAATGGGGGTTCGGGGGCGACCCGGTGCCCAGAAATTTGGGTTCAGGGCGGTTTCCGTGCCCGGCAATGGGGGTATAGGGGGGTTCCAGGCTCCAGATAAAGGGATACAGGGGATATCGAAGCTGGGGAAAGGGGCGCAGGGGGGTCCCGGTAGTCTGAAATGATCTGGGGGATCCAAAGGTCAACGAAATGGTCCAAATGGTCTGGGAAAAGCGGGATGTCCGAAAAGGGGGGGACAGAGGGGTCCCAGAGCACTGTCTGGGGTGCAGGGGGGGTCCCAGTTCCCGGAAATGCAGATTCAGGGGTGGCCCCGTGCCCAAAAATGGGGGTTCAGGGCGGTTCCCGTGCCGCCATTCGGGGCTCAAAGTGATCCTGATCCCCAGGAATGGGAGCTCCGGTGTGTCCCGGGGCCGGATTAGGGGGTGCATGGGGGTCCCGCTGCCAGGAAATGAACCTTCATGGGGGTCCCCGTGCTCAGGAACGGGGGCTCAGTGGATTCAGATTCCAGGAAATGGCGGTTCAGGGGCGTTTTCTTGCCCAGGAATGGGAGTTCAGGGGCGTCCCGGTGCCACATGAGGGGGTACAGGGGGGTCCCGGTGCTGGGAAAGGGGATGGAAGGGGGTCACAGGACCCAAAATGGGACTATGGAGGGGGGTTCCCGGGCCCGGTAACCCCGGTAACAGAAGTTAACGAGGGTCCCGGAGCCCGGAAATGGAAGTTCAGGGGGTCCCGGTTTCGGGGTTCCCACTCACCTTTGGTCGCGCCCCCCGGGTCCCCCAGGAGCCCCAAGAGCAGCCCCAGACCCAGCGCTGCAGCCATGGCGCTGCTCCGCTGCGGCCCCGCCCACAGACCTGACCCCGCCCCAGACCTGACACCGCCCCCAGAGCAGCCTCCGGCCCCGCCATTGGTGCCGCTATTTCCTACCCGCCAATGGCAACCCGTGCTGTCAGTGACGTCACCGGGCAGATCCCGGTCTCGCAGGTTGGGACGCGGAAGCGAAAGGGACCGAGGAGGGCGGGGCGGGGGGAGGGGACGGGGGAATTGCAGAGAATCCCTCCGGATCCCTCTGGATCCCCCTGCGACCGCCCTGGAGCCCTCTGAGAACCACCTGGGAACCCCTGGGACCCCCTTAAGAAAGCGCCGGGAGTGGAGAACCGGGGGGATCCGGAAATTTGGGAGATCTGGGGGTGCAAAGGTGAAGGAAAAGGGCGGGTCTGGGGTCTGGGGAGGGCCGGGGAGGCGTGCGGGGGGGTCCCAGAACACGTGAAGGGGGATCCAGGAAGGGGTCCCAGTCCCAGATTAGGGGGTTCAGGGGGTCCCCATGCTCAGGAACGGAGGTTCAGGGAGTCACAGGTCAGGGGAAGGGGGGGTGAGGGCAGTGGGGGGTGCAGGGGGTCCCCGTGCCCAGAAAAGGGGGTGCACGGGCAGATCCCGGTGTTGAGGAAGGTGCTGGGTGGGGGCTGGGCAAGGCAGGAGTGGGGGTTCAGGGGGTGTCGGGGTCAAGGAAAAGCGGGGGGCTGGGGTGTCTGAGAGGGGGAGGGCCGGGAAAGGGGTGTGCGGGGGGGGCATCGGGGCTGGATAAGGGGGTGCAGGGGGATCCCGTGATGGATAAGGGGGTGCAGGGTGGGGTCCTGTGCCTGAGAACGGAGGGTTTGGGAGGGTTTCCGTCCTGGATATGGGGATGCAGGGGGTCTTGGTGCAGCGGAATGGGGGTGCAGGGGGTCCCAGTGCTGCATGAGGGGGATGCACTGGGGTCCCGGTGCACAGGAAATGAGGTTCAGGGGGGTTTCCTTCCCGGGTTCCAGGAAGGACTGAAAAATTGAGGTTTAGGGGGGTTCCAGTGCCCAGGAAATTGAGATTCAGAGGATCCCGGTGCCGGATAAGGGGATGCAGTGGGTCCCGGTGCCCAGAAATTGAGGTTCGGGGGGTTTCTGTGCCTGGGAATCAGGCTCCCGATAAGGGGGTGCAGGGTTATCGCGGCTGGGGAAGGGGCACAGGAGGGTCCCGATGCCCCAAAATGAACGTTCAAGGGGGGTCTCTGTGCCCTGGAAGGGGGATTCGCCCGGATATGGAAGTTCGGGAAGGTACCAGTGCCCGGGAATTGTGGGTCACGGGGGTCCCACTGTTGGGGAAGGGGATTGAGGGGGGTCACAGGACCCAAAATGGGGGTGCGGGTGGGTTTCCTTGTCTGGGAATGGAGGTTTAGGGATTGCCCTGGAACCCCTTTCAGGAAGCGCCGGGAATGGAGAACTGGGGGAACGCAGAAATTTGGGAGAGCTGGGGTACAAAAGCCGAGGAAAAGGGGGGGACTGGGGTCTGGGATGGCCGGGAATGGGGGTGCAGGGGGCCCCAGAGCACTGATGGGGGTCCGGGGGGATCTCAGTGATAAGGGGGGCAAGGGTGCCAATGCTAAAAAATGGGGGTTCAGAGGGGTCCCAGTGCCCAAAAATTGGGGTTCAGGGGATTCCCATGCCGCGGAATGCAGGTTCAGGGGTAATTTCCTTCCCGGAATTCTGGGCTCGAGGGTGTTTAGGTGCCCGAAAATGGCGTTTCCAGGGGCATCGGTGACCAGAAATGGGCGCTCAAGGGGCTCCGCGTGCTCGGGAATGAGGGTTCAGGGGGATCTCGGAGCCAGATAACGGGGTACAGGGGGGTCTCGATGCTGCGGAAGGGGATTGAGGGGGGTCACAGGACCCAAAAAGTGGCTATGTGGGGTTTCCCTGTCCGGGACTGGAGGTTTAGGGGGTCCCGGTGCCCGAAAATTGTGGTTCTGGGAGTGCCGGTGCCAGGGAAATGGGGTTCAGGGGAGTCCCTTCCTGCGAATCGGGGTTCGGGGAGTCCCAGTGCCAGATAATGGCCTGGCTGGGCGGGGGGTCTCTGTTCACAGGAATGGGTACTCGAGGGGGTCCTGGTGCAGCAGAATGGGGGTTCGGGGGGTCCCGGTGCCTAGAAATTGCGGTTAAGGGCGGTTTCCATGCCCGGGATTTGGGGTTCAGGGGCTTCCAGGCTACAGATAAGGGGGTGCAGGGGTTATCGAAGCTGGGGAAGGGGGTACAGGGGGCTCCCAGTGCCCCGAAATGAACGTTCACGGGGGTCTCTGTGCCCTGGAAGGGGGGTTCGCCCGCAAATGGAAGTTCGGGGGGTCCCCGTGCCCGGGAATTGCGGGTCAGGGGATTCCGGTGCCAGGGCAGTCCCCGGTCCCCGGGCGGGTCCCGGAGCCGCAGCTTGGGAGATGCGAAAGTGACCGGGGCAGCGCGGGGTGGGGACAGAGGAAACCCTGGGAATTCCCCTGAACCCCCCCGGAACCTGCCCGGACCCCCCGCAGGACGCGCAGGGGGTGGAGAACTGGGGGGACGCAGAGATTGGGGGGTCTGGGGGCGTCCAAGAGTCGCGAAGGAAACCGGGAGAGCCGGGAAGGGTTCAAGGTTCAAGGAAGGGACTGGGAGAGGCGGGATGGGGGATCCAGGGGGTCCCTGTGCCCACCAAAGGGGGTCCAGGGGTCCCTAGTGTTGAGGGCAGTGGGGTCTGGGAGCTGGGAAAGGCAGGAATGGGGGTTCAAGGGGTCCCTGGGTCACCGAAAGGGGGGTCTGGGGCTGGGAGAGGCGGGCGGATCCCGGGGACGCAGCCTGGGAGACGGGAAAGTCTCCCAAGGGGAGATTCCAGGGGAATTCCAGGGAATTCATCTGGATCCCACTGGATCCTCGCTGAGACCCCCTGGGACCCCGGAGGACCCCCTGGGAGCCCTGGAACCCCTTCCAGGAAGCGCCGGGAATGGAAAACTGGGGGGACGCAGAAATTTGGAAGATCTGGGGGTCCAAAAGCCGAGGAAAAGGGGGGGACTGGGGTCTGGGGAGGGCGGGATGGCCGGCAATGGGGGTGCAGGGGGTCCCGGAGCACTGATGGGAGTGCGGGGGGATCCCAGTCCTGGATTAGGGAGGGCAGGGGGGTCCCAGTGCCCAAAATTTGGGTTCAGGGGGTTCCTGTGCCAGGGAATGCGGGTTCAGGGGGAGTTTCCTTCCCGGAATTTGGGGTTCGAGGGGGTTCTGGTGGCCGGGAACAGCAGTTCCAAGGGCGCCGGTGACCAGAAATGGGGGTTCAGGGGGGTCCCGGTGCTGGCAAAGGGGGTACAGGGATGTCGGGCTGGGCGGAAATGGGCGCTCAAGGGGGTCCACGTGCTCAGGAATGGGGGTTCAGGGCGGACCCGGGGCCAGATAAAGGGGTATAGAGGGGTCTCGATGCTGGGGAAGGGGATTGAGAGGGGTCACAGGACCCAAAAAGCGGCTATGTGGGGTGCCCCTGTCCGGGAATGGAGGTTTAGGGGGTCCCGGTGCCCAAAAATTGGGGTTCCGGGAGTGCCAGTGACCAGAAATGGGGTTCAGGGGGAATCCCTTCCTGCGAATCGGGGTTCAGGGGCCAGATAATGGCCTGGCTGGGATCCGGGGCTGTGGAAGGGGTGCAGAGGGTCTCTGTTCACATGGAATGGGGTGCTCGACGGCGTCATGGTTCAGCGGAATGGGGGTTCAGGGGACCTGGTGCCAGATAATAGTATCCAGGAAATGGGGTTCAGGGGGGTTCCCTTCCCGGGTGCCCAGAAAATCGAGATTCAGGAGAGTTCCAGTGTCCAGAAATGGGGGTTCGGGGGCGACCCGGTGCCCAGAAATTTGGTTTGGGTTCAGGGCGGTTTCCGTGCCCTGGGGATGGGAGTATAAGGGGTTCCAGGCTCCAGATAAGGGGGTGCAGGGGATATCGAAGCTGGGGAAGGGGGTGCAGGGGGGTCCCGGTAGTCTGAAATGAACATTCAAGGGGGTCTCTGTGCCCTGGAAGGGGGGTTCGCTCGCAAATGGAAGTTCGGGGGGTCCCCGTGCCGGGGAATTGCGGGTCAGGGGGTTCTGGTGCCGGGGCAGTCCCCGGTGCCCGGGCGGATCCCGGAGCCGCAGCTTGGGAGATGCGAAAGTGACCGGGGCAGCGCGGGGAGGGGGAGGGGGACAGAGGAAACCCTGGGAATTCCCCTGAACCCCCCGGAACCTGCCCGGACCCCCCGCAGGACGCGCAGGGGGTGGAGAACTGGGGGGACGCAGAGATTGGGGGGTCTGGGGGCGTCCAAAGGTCGGGAAGCAGAACTGGGAGAGCCGGGAAGGGTCCAAGGTTCAAGGAAGGGGCTGGGAGAGGCGGGATGGGGGATCCAAGGGGTCCCTGTGCCCACCAAAGGGGGTCCAAGGATCCCCGGTGTTGAGGGCAGTGGGGTCTGGGAGCTGGGAAAGGCAGGAATGGGGGTTCAGGGGGTCCCTGGGTCACAGGAAGGGGGGTCTGGGGCTGGGAGAGGCGGGCGGATCCCGGGGACGCAGCTTGGGAGACGGGAAAGCGAGACGGGGAAAAGGGGAATTCCAGGGAATTCATCTGGATCCCGCTGGATCCTCGCTGAGACCCCCTGGGACCCCGGGGGACCCTCTGGGACCCCTGGAACCCCTTCCAGGAAACGCCTCGGGGAATTAGGGGGGGCCCAGGGGGGTCCCAGTGCCCAAAAATTGGGGTTCATGGGGTTCCTGTGCCGGGGAATGGGGGTTCAGGGGGAGTTTCCTTCCCGGAATTCGGGGTTCGAGGAGGTCCCGGTGCCCGAAAATGGGGGTTCTGGGGGCGCCGATGACCGAAAATGGGGGTTCAGGGGGATCCTGGTGCCAGATGAGGGGGTACAGGGGGGTCCCAGTGCTGCCGAAGGTGGTACAGGGGGGGGTCGAGGTGGCCGGAAATGGGCGCTCAAGGGGGTCCGCGTGCTCTGGAATGGGGGTTCAGGGGGGTTTTCCAGCCCAGAAATGGGGTTTCAGGGGGGTCTCGGTGCCAGATCAGAGCGTACAGGGGGGTCCCGGTTCAGGAGAAGGGTATTGCTCGCGGTCACAGGACCGAAAATGGGGGTTCAGGGGGGTCCTGGTACCCACGAATGGATGATTAGGGGGTTCCATGTGCCCGGGAATTGCGGTTCAGGGGGGTCCTGCTGACTAGAAATGGGGTTTCAGGGGGTCTCGGTGCCAGATGAGGGGGTACAGGGGGGTCCCGGTGCCGAGGAAGGGGATTGATGGGGGATCACAGGACCCAAAATGGGGGTTCAGGGGAGTTCCCCTGCCCGGGAATGGAGGTTTAGGGAGTTCCCGGTGCCCGGGAATTGCGGTTCAGGGGGGTCCCGGTTTCGGGGGGTCCCACTCACCTTTGGTCGCGCTCCCCGGGTTCCCCAGGAGCCCCAGGAGCCCCCAGAGCACCCCCAGCCCCAGCGCTGGAGCCATCGCAGCCGTCCCCGATCGCGGCTGTGGCGCAGCTGGAGAGACGCGAAAGCGAAAGTGCCCGAGGAGCGCGGGGGGAGGGGAAAAGGGGGAGGGGAAAAGGGCGAATTCCAGGGAATTCACCTGGATCCCCTCCTGGCCCCGCTCTGGATCCCTCGGGGATCCGTCTGGGACCCTCCAGGGCCGCGCCCTGCGGGACCCCCGGGCCGGGCTGTGCTGAACTCCCGGCCCTGCACTCAAACTCTGCCCGGACCCCGCTGGGCTCGGCCCAAAGCCGGGCAAGCACCGCGAGCAGCGGAGCCAATTTTTCCTGCGGGTGCGGATCCCAGCCCCGGCGGAGCAGGGCTGGGCGCTGGGACCCGACCCCTGATTCCCAATCTCCTTCTCTCTCTCCCTCTGCTGTTCTCTCCCTTTCCTTTGGGGGAATCACAAATCCCAGAGCGGCCGCAGAGGGCCGGGTTTCCCAGCAAAGGGAGGCTGGGGCTGAGGTGCCCCGGGCTGGCCGGGAATGGGGGCCCGGGGGTCCCCGGGGTCACGGAAACGGGGGATCCAGGGGCCGGGAGAGGAGGATACCCGGGAAAGGGGGGTGCAGGGGGGTGTTGGTGCAGGATAAGGGGGTGCAGGGGGGTGTTGGTGCAGGGTAAGAAGGTGCAGGGGGTGTTGGTGCAGGATAAGGGGATGCAGGGGGGTCCCAGTGCCCGGGAATTGGGGGGGGGGGGGGGGGGGAGGCAGGATCTGTGAAATGGCAGCAGCTGCTGGGGAGGGACTGAGATGGACTGGGACAGATTGGGAAAAGAACCCACTGGAAGCAGAACTGAGGCACCAGGGATCATACTGGGATATACTGGGACTACACTGAGGGCGACTGGGAACAACTCAGAGCATGCAGGGGGCAATTGAGATATACTGGGAGGGACTGGGAATGGTTTGGATCATCCTGGGACTGACTGCAATCATACTGGGAGTGATCAGATCTGTAGTAGGGGTGAAGAGGAGAAACTGGAATAATGCAGGGACCAACTGGGATCATACTGGGAGTAGCTGGCCCATGCTGGGGTCATACTGGGATTATACTGGGACTGATGGGGTGACACTTGGAGTGACTGGCATAGTACTGGGAGTAACTGGGATCATACTGGAGGTGACTGGACTTATACTGGGAGCAACTGGGACCACAGCAGGGGTAAATGGCATCGTGTAAGGTGTGACTGGGGCCACACGGGGCTCTTACTGAGAGGGACTGAGAGTGAAACGAACCATACAGGGCATGACTGGGAGCCACTGGGACCGTGTTGGGGGCAACTGGGATCCTACTGTGAGTGATTTGGAACATACTGGGAGTGACCGGGACCCCACAGGTGAGGCGGCGGCGGAGCTCGGGGGCGGCCGCAGCGCAGGTGGGAGCCGCGCTGGGTTGTGCGGGGGCTCGGGGCTGGCTGCGGGCCTCGGGGGCGGCAGGGGGCTCGGGCGGGTTCGTTGTGCCGTGTCCGGCCCGTGTTGCCGCTGGCGTGAGGGCGCTGCGGGAGCGGCTGCCCCCGGTCTCCTTGCGGCCGCTGCCTCGGCAGGAGCCGCTGCCGGAGCAGCGCTGGCTCGGCCCGGTTCCTGTGGCTGGGACAGAGGGGGCTGCCCCGTGCCCAGAGGCTGCGCTGGGGCCGCCTCCGAGCTCCGTCGCCGCCTCACCGGGCACCGGCCGCTGCTGCCGCTCCCGGGCCCGCACGGACGATCCGGTAATGGCGGCTCCGCCGAGCCAGGGCCGCCCTCGGGGCGGCACCGGAGGCCGTGCTTGGCCCCGCTCTCACCAATCACCGCGCGAGCACGAAGAGTGACGGCAGAATCAGATAGTCGCAGCGAGGGGCGGGCTCTGCACACGGCACGGGCTCTGCACACGGCACGGCCCCGCCTCCCTTTCCCCGCTCTCCGGCATTTCCCGGCAGCCGCGGCTGAGGAGCGGCCTCGGCGCTGGGCCCGGCCCGGGCAGGAGGCCAAGGAGCCGCTGGTGCTGCCCCGAACCGCCGGGAGCTCGGCGTGACCGGGACCTGAGGGCGCTGGGAGCTGGGGTGAGTGCGGGACGGAGCCGGGACCCACCTGCAGCCCCGGCAGGAGCCCAGGCCGGAGCAGGGGATGCTGGAGAGAGGCCAAAACCTCTCTGTCACTTCCCTCCTCCCCCTGGGCAGGAAACAGAGCGCGTAAGGAAAGGCTCGAGGGTCTGGGTGAGGGTGGGACAGTTCAATCACTGGTGACGGGCACAACGCACTTGTCAGGAGAATTAATCCACAAACCTCAGAGGTTTATGTCCAAAAAGGAGACAGAGGAATCCTTTTACTTTATTCGAATAAAGAGAGAGGCCGTGGGGCATTGCCCTGGGGTCTCTCCAATTTTTGGAGGACGCAGCCTCCCTTTTAATCCCAGTTTCCCGGCCGCATTTCCCTTCTCTCTTTCCCCATTGGCTGAGGTACTTGAGAGGTTCAAATTTCCCGCTATTCCCGATACTTAAGATTTCCCTCTGATGTACAACCTCCCTTTTAATTTTTAATTCTTATGGAATTTAGGGTTTTCCCTCTTTGTTTCTTTCATCTTTCAGTGTTCAGTTTCATTTATCAGCAAACCTAAAGTTTGTTTGTAAAAGCAACTATCTTTTCCCATTCATCAATCAGTGGAATCTTTTCCATTGTTTCTTTGATCTCTCAGTGCTGGTTTGATCTACCAGCAGACCCACAGCCTGTTTAAAAGGACAAAATCCATCATTCCTCTCACACTTGGCTTGGGGAGATTAATTGAATTTATGATCAAACATGGCAGGGCAAGAGAATGAGAACTGAAATAATTCCTACGAAAATATCCTGGCCCCACTTCTCTCTCCTTCCCGGGCTTAACTCTGTCCCGCATTCCCTCGCTTCTCCCCAGCCAGAGGCGCAGGGGATGGGGGTCACAGCCCGGTCCTGTCACAGCCTCCCCTCAGGGACAGGAATCCTCGTCCTGCTCCGGCCTGGGGTCCCTCCCACGGGACACATCCCTCGGGAACGGGCTGCTCCAGCGGGGATCGCCCCGGGCTCACAGGTGCCGCCAGGAGCCGCTTCCATGGCTCTGCAGGGGCTTCCCAGGGGCTCGGGGCCTCTCTCGGGCATCCCCTGCCCGCGGTCTCCTTGCGGCCGCTGCCTCGGCAGGAGCCGCTGGCGGAGCAGCGCTGGCTCGGCCCGGTTCCTGTGGCTGGGACAGAGGGGACTGCCCCGTGCCCGGGGCTGTGCGGGGAATTCCCGTGGCCGGATGTTTCTGTGCCCAGAGAGACAGAGGAGTCCTGTAAAAGTGACTTTATTGCTGAGCAGAGGGAGAGGCCGTGGGGCATTTGCCGTGCGCTCTCTGCCATTGTTGTAGTTCGCAGCCTCCTTTTTATCCTCATTTTCGCGGCCTCATCTCCCGCTCCCTTTGCCCCCTGGCTGAGGTGCTTGGAAGGTTCAGACCTCCCGATCCTCCAACTGCATGTCCGTGTTAATGTGCACCCCCACTTTTGTATAACAGCCGATATTCACTGCTCTGTTAAGTCTTTGTTCTTCTGCAAGTTCAGGAATTCAGCGGGACTTTGAGGAACTTTCTGTGTCAATTTCTAATATTTTCTAAAACTGATGGCTTCTCCCATTACTTCCTTATGTACAAATCCCTGACCCTATCTCCAGGCAGATTCACTCATTGACTCTGTTTTTTCTTCCTGGGTCTTCTTTCGTTTTGGGATTATTCTCAGTGTCCTCATTCCCTGTCCGTCTGTAGCTGTTTCTGGATCAGGAGGCCTGGCTGCCACCTGCATCCCCTCGCTCCGCTGCTGAATGAGCTGCACCCTCAAGGTGTGGAGCATGGTAAAAAGATGAAAGTTGCTGTAGCACATGAGAGGAGAAACAGCATTTGTATAACCCATGGTCTGCCAGGGAGCCACGAAACCGTGTCCCATTCTGTTATGGTTAGAGGCTGGCACAATGGTAGTGCTCCTATGAATTAGTTTCTCTCTGGTGTCTGCTGTGAGATGTGACCAGGAATAAGCGAAACAGGCTTTTACTTAGAATAAAGAAAAGAAAACTTTATTAACTAAACTACAACTCTAAATAACAAGAAATACGCAGGGAAAATGAAAACTTTGTAAAAACATTTCCTCCTCTCTCTACTAAATTCTAATACATCTATTTCTCAAATTTCAACTCTCAGTCTATCACTAGTCTTTAGATAATCAATTCTCAATTCATCAAGAGGAGAGGAGTCTTTCTCGTGCTTCAGGCTTCTTCTGGAAACACCATTGAAACTGCGTGTGTTTCTGGTCACTCGTGGCACCGCCCAGAGTAAATCTGCTGTCATGACCTCTTCCCTTTATGTCTAGTGCTCTCACTACTGAACATGGACTAGAGCTGCTCCTAGGGTTGTCTTTTTAAGGATGCTTTGTCCCGTTCCAAACAGAGCACAGTCTCACCTTTGGGACACTTGTCTTCTTCAAATTTCCCTCCTTGGTGCTGAGGGGTACTAACACTGAACTTTCTTGGGTCTGAGCCATTTCCTCCCTCTGGATGCAGTTTCGGTGTCACAAGGAACATGGTTCTGTCCATGGCTATAACCAGAAGAGTCTGGCTAAGCTACTTTATCGTCTCTTCTCACTTAAGATTCTTCACTTTCACACTTGCACACTTCTTTCTTCCATTTCATCTCTATCTCTCTTCTAGGAAAGGTTAATGTTCTGCAAAGTTTTCATTGTCTGAGAAAGGGTTAAAAGCTCCCACAAGCGGCCGGACCCCCTCTGGCTGCAACCCCCCCCTCCTTCTCTGCCGGCCGGGCTGTGCTGCCAGCACTTGATATCAAATTTCAAGGCGGCACAGGCTCGCTCTGTCTCTGGGTGGGGGTGCTGCCCGATGCCTCCTGGTGCTTCTCCCACCCTTCTGTGCTGGGGACCCTTCACCTCCCATCTCTGTCCCAGGCCCGGCCTACCTCGCACCGCCTGGCTGCGCCTGCCCCGCCCAGCGGCGGGCAGCTGGGCCGGGAGCTCTGACCTGCTTCCCTCGCTGGAATT